AATATGAAAGACTCAAGGAGGCCAAAATAGTATTGAAAAAGAGCAAATGTGATGGACTTAGATGCTCCAATTTAAAAACTTACTACAAAGCTATAGTATTCAAGATGGTGTGGCACTGGCATGAAGATAGACATATAGATCAACTGAACAGAATTAAGAGTCCAGGAATAAATCCATACACTTACGGTTAATTGAGTTTCAACAAAGGTATCAAGGAAATTCAACAGAAAAAGGACAGTCTTCAACAAATGGTGCCATTCTGAATTAAATGGACAATTCAATAGCCACATGCAAAAATATGAGTTTAGACCCTTACTACATATCATACACAAAAATTAACTCAAAATGGATCATAGACCTAAAAAACTTTTAGAAGTAAACATAAGAGCAAATCTTCTGAACATTGTGTTAGGCAAAAATTTCTCACCAAAGGAACAAGCAATTTAAAAAAATTGATGAATTGGCTTTCATCAAAATTGAAAACTTTTTCAGTTCAAAAGACATCATTAATAGCATAAAAAGGAAAGTCACACACTGGGAGAAAATATGTGTACATTATATATGTGATAAAGGCCTTCCATGTAGAATATATAAAGGGTGCTTTATAACTCAATAATAAGTAAACAAATAACCAAACTTTTAAAAGGGCAAAAAATCTGTACATAAATGTTCATAACAGCCAAAATCTGGAAAAAAACCAGATGTCTTTCAGTGGGTGAATAGCTAAACAAACTATGGTACATCTCTACTGTGGAATAGTACACAGCCATAAAAAGAAATGAACCACTGATACACTCAATAACCTAGATGATTCTTAGAAGTATGCTGAGCGACAAAGGCCAATCCCTAAAGGTCACATACTGTATGATACGAGTTACATAACATCCTTGAAATTACAATTATAGATGCTAAACAGTTTAATGGTTGTGGGGGAAAGGGGCAAAATGGTTATCAAAGGATAACAGACGGGATTATGGTGATGTAACTGCTCTGCATCATGACTACAGTGGTGGTCCTATAAACCTACCCTGTGATAAAATTGTATAGAACTAAATGCACACACACACAAAGGAATACATGTATGTTTGTGGAAATCTGAGTAAGATGAGTGGATTGTATCAATGTCAAATTTGTGGTTGTGATAGTATATTACAATTATGCAAGATGTTACCATTGAGGGATACTGAGTAAACGGTAAACAGGACCTCTCTGTATTATTTTTTAAATGATATATGAATATCTAATTATCTTGGGAAAAAAGCTTAATTTTAAAAATGGAGCCAAAGATTTGAATAGATTTTTCATCAGAGAAGGTACTCAAATGGCCAACAAGCACATGAAAAGATGTTCAACATCATTAGCCATTAGGGAAATGCAAAGTAAAACTACAATGTGATAGCACTTCATACTCACAAGAATAGGTATAAACAAAAAGATAGACGACAAATGTTGGAGAGGAAGTGGGGAAAATGGAACCCTCATACGTTGCTGGTGGGAATGTAAACTGATTCAGCCACTTTGGAAAACAGTTTGGTAATTTTCTTAAATTCAACATAGTCTTACCATATGACCCAGCAATTCCACTCATAGGTATATACCCTAGAGTAATTAAAACACATGTTCACACAGGACGTGTAGGTGAACTTTCACAGCAGCATTTTCGTAATATCCAAAAGGTAGAAGCAACACAAATGTCATCAATTGGTGAGTGGATTAAAAAAAATGCGGTATATCATTACAATGGCATACTATTCATCAATTAAAAGTAATGAAGTACTTATGCAAGACACAACATGGATGAACCTCAAAAACATTATGCTAAGCCAAAGAAGCTAGACACAAAAGACCACATATTGTATGATACAATTTATTTGAAATATCCAGAAAAGAAATCTATGGAAACAAAAAGTAGATTAATTATTGCCTGGGGCTAGGGGTGAGAATGGGGAATGACTGAAAATGGGGCAGTGATTGCTTTGAGTGTGGCAGAAATGTTCTAAAATTAGTTTGTGTTGCTATTTGTACAAGTTCGTAAATGTACTAAAATACTGAATCATATGCTTAAATAAATAAGTTGTTAAAGAAAGAAATCTGTCTTTTAAAAGTTACACTTCTTTTCTGCTGTTTTAAGGTTGAAAACCCCTCAGATGGTTAGACTTGTGATCTCTCGCCCCAGGTCCCTATCCATCAGACAGGAGAATTACCCCCATGCCCTGCTTAGCACATCAGACAGAAAGTTACATGGCCTGCTTTCTTCTCCATCTACTCCTAGCTTTACTATTCTTGATGGTTGCTAAAGTAACATTTAAAAATCATGTTGTTTCATAGCCAAGACATGGAAGCAACCCAAGTGCCCATCAACAGATGACTGGATAAAGAAGATGTGGTATATATATACAATGGAATACTACTCAGCTGTAAAACAGAACAAAATCGTCCCATTTGCAACAACATGGATGGACCTTGAGGGAATTATGTTAAGTGAAATAAGCTAGATAGAGAAGGACAATCTCTGTATGACTCCACTCATACGAGGAATTTAAAAATGTAGACAAAGAGAACAGATTAGTGGCTACCAGGGGAAAGATGGGGTGGGGGGTGGGCACAAAGGGTGAAGGGGTGCACCTACAACACGACTGACAGACAATACTGTACAACTGAAATTTCACACGATTGTAACCTATCATTAACTCAATAAAAATTTCTTTAAAAAATCATGTTGTTTCTTGTGTTTACTGACAAAATGTGTTTTTCTCAGCTTGCCCAATTCCAAATTCTCCTGTAGTTCAGCAAAACAAATTCTTTGGAATCATATATGCCTTTTCAGCACCCTGTATGTGCAGAAAAACAGACGAACAGATTTTACTATACTTGTGAGTTTCTCCAAGCACAGCACTTCCCTGAACTGCTCTGTCCTTTTGAGATCTAACTAAATGTCAGGGGCCTCTTTCCATTTTGACAGTGGAATTTCCCCCTCCCTCACTTTCCCTCTCATCTCCCATAGCCATTATTTCTTCACTTGTACCATAGTTCCAGTACCTCATTTACACTTAATCACAAAGTCCACCCCTGTACTCCTTTCCCTTTCTGTCCTTCAAATATCCCTTCCTAGCCTAATCCGGAGTGGTAGAAAGGAGAAGCTACCATTTAAGCAGTAGGCAGCAAAATACTTCCCTCCTAGACATTGACTTAGTGGACCTTTATGGATAACATATTTGGAAATTTTTTAGTATCGCCTATGGCTTTTTTGTTTTTTGAAAGAGAAGAACTGGTGCAGAATACTAATTTTAAGTCTAAGGTATATCACCCCCATAAATGACAGATGACACATTATTTATTAATACCCAAGAAAAGCAAATATATCATATATGTCTTGCCAGAAGGCTATCATAAAGTATTTTAAGTTCCATATTTAATTATAATTCCTGCCTAATAGATAAGTTGTCTATACTATAAAAGACTAGATTTTGTTGTTTATTGACAGTGTTACAACTTATTTTTAAAGTTCCTAAATAATCAAGCTTTTGAGTACAACAAAATTTTTTTTCTTTTAATAACACACTCCTTGATAATGATGATGGTTTGATCAGTGCCTCTTATAGAACTAATTTCTTCCTCCCTCAAACATCCTAAATGTTTTGTTTATACTATTATACTGCTAACGTAATGCTCATCCTAAATTAAAGTGTGGCTATGTCTGTTTCTCCAGTCTCGGTATCTAATTGGGATGCAGCTGTAGTGCAGCAGAAGGGACAATGAAGCTGATATTAGAATACCTGGATTACAGTATTTGTTTTATTGTTTAGCAGCTGTGTGACTTTACTGTCTTAATGATCCCTGAATTATGACACGGATTTTTGTGCTGCTGCCAAGTATGAAATAGTTTGAGATATGGATTGGACACTCAAAATATGTGATCTCTATAACATTTTGGTGGGCGTGGAGAAGATAAAATATTTGAAATGAAAAATTCTGGACAAAAAGTCACCATAGACCTTAATATATCACTTAAATTTCCTGCGACTCAGTTTTGCTATCTATAAAATAGACATGATGATGCTTACCTCACAGATTGTTTAAGGGTTAACTGAGAGACGTATTGTACATGAGTCAGTCTAGCTCAGTGTCTGGAAAATGGATGTTAATGTTTCCTTAGGTTGGAATGCTTCCTCCACTCCTTCCACCCCCCACAAAAAAAAAAAACCTCCAAATTCAAACAACTTTTAAGAAACAGTCCTAAAGACACTACTCTACAAAGCCTTTCCAAAGAACTTCAGGCAGTATCGCCCTTTGGTTAGGAGTATTGAGCTTTGGGAACCAGAAAAGACCCCCAAATTTAAAACTGGGTCTGCCATTCAGTAACTCCATGACCTTGGGCAAGTTTATCCTCTCTGCATCTAGGTCTTCCATCTGTAAAATTAGATCATCATGGGACATATCTCAGAGTTGTGAAGCATTAAATGAGATATGCATACAGGGCACACAGCACAGTCCCTGACACTTAGTAAGTCCTCTATAAGTATTACATAGTAGGAGTACTAGAAGTAGTAAATAGAAAGCTTCCTCCTCAGTAAAATGTTAACAAAAATGCCTCCGAGGGTGTGGCAAAGTTGTGATGCAAAGGTCTTTTAAACTCTAATGCTGAACAAACACAAGGGATTGGTATATACCTTTAGATATTTGGGGCAAAGTTCTAACTTCACTTTTATAGAATATGTTTTCCCTGCACTTGGGGGAGGGGTAATAACATCCACTATGAATTTATAGGAAATAAAAACAGAAGATACGTCCCCCGCACACAAGCAGCAAAATGCCAAAGAGCAGTGCTAACATCTGCAACCGCAGACCGGACCTCGACAATTCCCTGGAGTTCACCTCTAACGCCCCCCGTCTCTTAGAGCCGCGCAAGCGTACACTGATTTTGCTCTTCTCTCCCTCGTGCCCCCGCCTCCAGCCCCCCACCTCCCCCCACCCACCACCGCCCCCCCCCGTTCTGTCTCAACACGCAGGCGCATCTCCTCAAATCCTGTCCCTACCCCGGTCCTCTTTCTCTTCATTTTGTTCCCCCTCCTCTCCCAGCACCTCAGCAGGTTCAAACTCTTCTCCGTGAGGGTGGAGGCGATCGAGAGGTCACGTGATGAGCATCCTGCTGCCCAACATGGCGGAGTTCGACACCATCTCGGAACTGGAGGAGGAGGAGGAAGAAGCGGCAACGTCGTCGTCGTCGCCGTCGTCGTCTTCTGTATCGGGGCCCGACGATGACGAGGAAGATGAGGAGGAGGAGGAGGAGGAAGAAGAGGAGGAGGAGGAAGAAGAAGAGGAGGAGGAGACGCCGCCCCCGCCTCGGGTAGTGAGCGAGGAGCATCTGCGGAGATATGCCCCCGACCCCGTATTGGTGCGGGGCGCCGGCCACATCACTGTGTAAGCGAGAGGGGGCTATGGGGTTTGAAAAGGCTGAGATTTGGCGACAGAGGAATGAGAAGATGATGGAGGGGCCTTTGCAGTGGGGGAGGGCTGACTGAGGCATACAGTTAGGAAAGGACACCGGTCTGAATGGACGAGCCGAGGGAGATGGGTGTAAAGGAAGAGGAGAATGCAAATGTGATGCACCAACGCCAGGTAAAGAATGAGTACAGGGCCGGGAAGTTAGGGGTTTGGGAGCCAGAGAGACTGGAATAGGGATGAATCTCCTTGCTTCTGTGTATGCTGGCAAGTGAATAGTCTTTAAACTGCATGATGTACCAGAGGATTCTTTGCTGCTACGATTGGTGTCTAGTGGAACAGGGTGACTGCTGTGACATGTGACAAGACCTAGGCTTGGAATTCTTCAAAACAGAAACATGATATATTTTGTAAATAATGTTATAGAATATCCACCCACACACATATTCCTCCATCCATTCTTCCTCTCTAATCCTTATATGAATGAACGCAGTAATCGTTTCCATGTGTTGATCACTCTTCACTCTAACATTCCTTAAATATCACACAATTAGAGATTCAGGAGGAGAGACAGCTATGAAAAATAGGAAGAGCAATGGATTGAGGGTGAGGGCTCTTGGATGTTAGTGCAAGTTTTGCTTCTTACTAGCCCTTTGACCTTGGTCAGGTTACTTCCCATTTCTGGGCCTTGATTTCTCCATCTGTAAAACGAGGGGTTTGAGGTAGATGGTTTCTAAAGCCTTTCAGCTCTGAGATAATTTAAGATACCTCCAGGAGATTTTGTATGCCCAATACTAAATATGCAAACATTAAATATATATATGGAAATTAGTCCCTCAGGAGCTGAGGATGATTTCTTGAAAACCTATGCAGAAGGACATTTTTAAAAATTGAAATCTTGGATCATGTTTGAGAAAATAAAAGGAGGTGGGACCTCACAGCATAGTAGTTGCAAAGCAAAAGAAAATTTTAATGATTCTCTGCTCTTTGAGGAGTGCTTTCTCATTTTTTATGTGCTTGGGCTGTAAGTGCTTGGAAGTTTGAGTATTGTGTCATGTTCATCCTCTTAACTATGCTATCTTTTACTGCATTTTCAAAATAGGGCTATTTTTTCCTATCAAATCATGCTGCCTCTAATTTTGATAATGGCTCACCTAGCCTCTTTGCCTTTCAATTGAGTTCATAGTATCTGAAATCATATAATATGCACCACCCCCCCCCATGATGTTAGCTTTTAATTTTAACACGTTGAGTATTTTTATTGTAGTATACTTTTGTGATCTTGGCATAAAATATATGAAGAAAGATTTTTAAATTGTGGAAGGGTTTGGGGAGATTGTTAGACCTGCTTTTTGGTTCAGCAATTTTAACACAATTTTTCTTGGGCCAAGAATTTTGCAGATAGTCTCCAATGTTCAGATGCCACTTACTGCACTGTTTTACTCCATTCATTTCATCGCTAGGGAGACACTTAATTACTCAAACTAATTATGATTCTGGCATCAAAGTTTGCTTTCATGCAGATTATTTCACATGACTGAACAGAAAAAGGTTTTTTATTCCAGTCCAGAACTTTATATTCCAACATGCCTCCCCCTCATTATTTTCTAAAATTCAGAAAACAGAGAAGGAGCAAGGAAACAGAAATTAAGTTCCCCCAAACTTATTTGTAGTTCCATTCTACTCTTTACACAATCGTGGTGAAGTACTTACTAACCTATTTTCAATTAAAAGCACAACACTGACACTTGCCATGCCCAGGGCCTTGTGATAGGTGTAATATTCCTTCCAGCTTAAAAATTCTGGAATTAGGAGTGTGAAGAAGTGGTGCTGGTAGTAATTGTTGGTATTAATTGAAGCCAAAACCTGAAAAGCAGCAAACCAGTACTTGAATCGCTAATTAACCTATATAGTTTGGAAAACTATTTAGTTCCGCTGCACACATTCTCTTACCTAGAAAACACATTTGATGTTAAATGTCTGAGATTTGGAAAAAAAATTACAGTTTAGGAGAAGGTTTTACTGGATCTGAGAAACTGGTCTTTCTGTGGTAGTAAGACCTTCCTTATATCCAGTAAAGTAAGATCCTTGTGAAATAGTTAATCTAATTATGAGACATCTAAAATATCAGCTTCAGTTTAATTTTTTTTCTGGTATGGAAGTGTTAGAGTTGCCCTATCTGAATGAAATATTTCTTATTCTCTCCCACCCCTTATTTTTTCCTTTCTTTGTGCAGTCGTCTATTCTATAGAGGACTTCGTTTCTTTTCAAAGTTTAAAATTTGAGAACCATCATCTCAAACTCTCTATCTTAAACCCAACATTTTCTCTCCCCACGTTGGCTGTGCATTCCAGTTGCCCCATGTCTGACCCTGGTACCACCATTCTAATCTTCCAGGGTAATATTTCAAATCCTTGAGTCATTTTAACTCTTCCTTCTCCTCGAATTGTCCTATGCCAGCCTGTCCCAGGATTATGTGATCATACCTTTTGAAATACCTATTTGATTTTTCATTTTTTCCATTTCTCCTGGCACCACTCTAGTTTGTGTTGCCATCGTCTTCTGCTTGAATTGTTGCCACAGTCTGCCACCTCTCCCCTCTCCATTTTATCCAGCAAGCTTGTGCCAAACTAATTTTCTTAAAACACAGTTTAATCATGTCACTTTCCAGCTGAAAAACCTGCATTGGATCTTTTTTTTAAAAGATTTTATTTTTCCTTTTTCTCCCAAAGCCCCCCAGTAATTAGTTGTATATTTTTAGTTGTGGGTCCTTCTAGTTGTGGCATGTGGGACGCCGCCTCAGCATGGCTTGATGAGCGGTGCCATGTTGGCGCCCAGGATCCAAACTGGCAAAACCCTGGGCCGTCGAAGCAGAGAGCGCGAATTCAACCACTCGGCCACGGGGCCAGCCCCTGCACTGGATCTTAATTAGGTCTGAATTCCTGTGCTCTCTTCCTCCAACATCAGAGGTCAAGGAATCCCTCCTCTGGTCCAAAGCTCACCCCTCCACTTTTGCCTTCCATACCCTTCTCTTCCAGCCTCCTCCCAGGTCTGCTCCATCAGGCAAACCCTGTCTCTAATATTACCTCTCGCTACCTCTCTACTGGATCAGCCTGTAAACATATCCAGAGTCTCTCTTAATTGTTTAAAAGCAAAAGCCTTCCTAGACCTATGTTCCCCCTTAGCTACTGTCTAATCTCTCTCCCTTCCTTCTCCAAATTTTTTTAAAGTAGCTGTATCCACCATATCTTTTTCCTCTTCACCCCTCTGTAATCTGGATTCTGCTACCATGACCACAGATAAACTGGCCTCATAAGATCAGTATGACCCACTTATTGCTAAATTAGTGGGCATCTTTCATTCTCTATCTTTCTGGTTCTCTCTGCTGCATATGATGCTTATAATGACTCTGTTCTTCTTGGAGGTTTCTACTCCACGGGTCACAAACACACAGGCGTTCAGAGGCAAAACAGGTCACAGAAAATGGTGCAGTCTGAGTAATGATGGAGACTTAGTTGAACTGGAAGGTATATGTTTTGTCTAGAGGTATTCAAATTCTGTTTTTAAAGAACATTTTGCTGGCCCCACAAACCTAGGAATTTCTTGGTGACTTCACTCTCCTGGTCCTCCTTGTATTCTTCTGGCTGTTCCTTAACTGTCTCATTCTGGGCTTTTCTTCCTCTCTTGCCCCTTGAATAACAGTGATCTCCAGGGTTTTGTTCTCAGCCCACTGTTCTTCTCATTCCCTCCTCTCCCTGTGTGGACTCATCTTGACTCTCATGGTTTCAGTTATCTGATGTCTCACAAATATGTATCTCTGCGCCAGTCTCTGCTCAGACTCTTATCTGGGCTTCCTCACCTGATGGCCCACCACCATCTTAAATTCAATGTATTCAAAACAGAACTCATTCCCCGCTTACACAGACCCTCAAACTCCCATCCCAACCCCTCAAAAAAATCCCTCCTCTTTCTGGATTCTCCATCTTAGTTAAATGTATCTCCACCTATCCCGTTATTCATCCTTGGCCCCTGTTTCCCACTCACACCTCTCAAAGCTGAGTAATCAGCAAGTATTAACAACACGTGACCTAAAAATTTCTTATTTTCCTCTCTACCGCCACTTCCCTGTTTCAGGCCCTTTCACCACACTAACTAGTTGTCTTGCCTTCATCCTTGTCACCTTCACATCCGTCCCCCAGCCTGCTGCTAGATTGAATCGCCACTTTTCTGCTTAAGACTATTCTATGGTTTTCCTTTCACCTGCAGGATAGAGTCTAAGCTCCTTAACATGGCGTATAGAACGGGACTCTTCCTATCTATCAGCCTAATCTCCTGACATTTACCCTTGCTGATTATATTTTCCTGTTCATAGCATGCTGCTTCTTATCTCTTTGCCTCTGCTCAAGCTGAATTCTCCATCTAGAATTCCAGAACCCACCGCCCTCACCCCAGCTCTCCGTATATCACTACCTTCTGCAGATCTTCTCTGTCCCCATGAACTTGTAAGCTGCAGTGGCAGGAACAATTTCTGGTTGTCTCTGAATCCTCAGTGTCTAACACAGTACCTGCCCTGAAGTAGACACTCAGTAAAAGTGAGTTGAATGAATATTGGTTCACTTTAGTAACGTTCAGTATGCCCATCATAATGCATGCTATATTATAGGCCCTCAACAAATACTGGTTAGTTGAGTCATGCTGTGGAGTACTTATGTTTCTGAGCATGGATATATATGGATACAGTAATATCACCAGTCCCATTAATGGTGGGTATGGGATGGCCTTAACCTCTTAAAGCTTTGTTAAGCAAGCCCTTTGTGTCAGAATGCCCCTGGCTACTTGTATCATCTTAACATATTGGCTTTCTAGTTACTTTAACAAGGTATTAATCTTTTAAAATGCATTTAATTATAATTTCTTAAGAAGTGGAATGACCTAACCACGCTAATTGTAATTCCAATTCTGAGATGATGATCATAAATGGATATTTGGGGATCTTTTTCCAAATTTTAAAAAAATATGGCTAAATTAACTCCCACAGATTTGAGCTTATAGAAACAGAAATGATGAAATGTCTCCTGGAAGTATTAAGTGTTTCAGAAATACACTACATCTAAGTGATATAACTTAGTATCTATCACTTCTTGATATTTTTAGGATAAATATTTGGATCCCATGTATCGAAATACAAGGAAAATTACATCTCTTGAGATTTTCCTCTCACATTTATAAGCATTACCACACTCTTTATATTGCTTAAAATATATAGATATTTACCCTTAATAGAAGTTAGTGGAGATGATAGGTTACCAATTCTCAGGGATTTATAAAGTTAATCTTTAAGGGCTGAAGTTATTATATATAGAATTGGAGAAGAGGGTCACACTTGCCAAACAATTCCTTTCTGCAAAAACTAGAGAGCACCACAAATATTGATACTTCTCAAATCAATGAATGGAATGTCTTTTCTGTAAACAGCTGTCTTTGAGGAATTACAGTGATGCATTGTTAATTTGTGTTTGTAAAAAGTAAACATTTTATGAGATTTTAGTCTGAGGATACTGCCTCTATGATAAATTGCCATTTTACAGTGTGGCAAGACATGATTATTTCCAAATGAAAGATTAAAGAGATTTAACTATAATTTTTTTGAAAATCTCTTTGAATTGTATAACATAGACTTTCCTTTTCCTTGGTATAGTAAATAGAGTTTAGTGCACCTGCTTCAGAATCAGTGTTACTATAAGTGCATAGCTTTCTAGAGAAATCATGTTTCTTGTTGGCAGAATTCTACTACACTTTGCTCCATTTTCTTAAACAACCTGAACACATGAACTTTAATTTGTGCAAGGTTTTCAAAGGCTGATGTATAGCCATTTTCAAAAGGATTAAAAATAGTGTGGGGTGTACAGAGGGAGAGAAGAGCAAAGAGCAGCTAACAGGACTCATCCTTCTTTGCCTCAATTTTCTTTACTCCACAGAATTGCCCAAGAAATTAAAATTTGGGGCATCGAAGACACTTGACAAATAAAATACAGTCATTAAGAACAACCACCTGGGTCAGCTTCAAACACATAATAGGTTCTATATTTAATGAAGCCAATAAAATAGCAGTTTAAGCAATTCCCAAGTGCCTGTTTATCTAATGCCAAAGAACCACACATCTTGGGTAATGTCTGTCACTGATCAGTAATGGGTAGATGAGCTTGTCTAACTCCTGGGACTCACAGTTCTTAACTTAATGGGTTGTTTATGAAACAAAGCTGAGGTGTTTGTTCAGCAGCAGCCATTTCAACATTTTCCTAGTAGCTACTAAGTGAAAATGTTGTGCCTAAGATTATTTGAGTTAAGTATTCTTTTTAAGTGCTGAGTCTCTAATGGAGGAAGTTAAGGAAAGAAATACCTGGTAGGCAAGAACAGGATTGCTCCTGCCTTTTAGCCAAAATTGTGAGAGCATGTCAGGCCTAGTTTGCCTATCTTTGTACCTTTTGAAGTAGATATATGTAGGTGATTAAGGAATATTTTAAGAAGTAAAATGACACTTTATTTACCATTTCTTATGTACTTTCTATATTTTAGAAAAGACAATCCCTTTTTATATTGAAGAAAATTAGTAATGTGAATATGCAAATATTTCTTGAGAACTTGATCACTGGGCCAAGCACTATGACGCATACATAAAAAAACAAAGTATAGGCCTTGCTTTACAAAACTAACAGGAAAATTGCCTTTAAGATCCGTGGCGCAGCAAAGAATAAAAGAAAATATTTGATTAACTGGTGAATTGTATACTACAGATTCGAAGCAGCTGTGAGTGACCAAAGAAAGGGGGGATCCGTGAAGGCCTGAGCATTCAAGATATTACAGCAGGGTTGGGAACTGGACTTGAGCCTTGCAGACTGTATAGGATTTAAACTAGGGAGAGGAAGCAAGAGGAACCATATGAGCAAAGCAGGAGCCAACATGACAGTGGCAGTGGAAAGGAAGGAATCATCATTATAAGAATGATTGCAGAGGAACAAATAACAGGACTTGGAACCACCTGAATATAAGCAAGGTGCAAAAAATAGGAGAGAGAAAGTACAAAAACAATACCAAGGTCTATGTTAAAGAGAGTCAGTGTGCCATTGATAGAGATGAAGAATTTAAAAGGGGGACCCAGTTTCCAATAAAAGATAGCATTTTAATTTTAGACCTCTTTCACTTGAGATGGTATTATTTTGTAGCAAGATATCCAAATGGAAATTTTTACTATGAAATTAGAGATGAGGGACTAGAGCGTGTTGGAAAATACAGAACTAGAGATATAGATTTGATGATCATCAGCATAGAAGTGATTGCCAAAGCTATTAAATATAGCTGAACTGTCATAGTTCCCTTAGAAAGAGAAGCAGGTGACTAAAACCTAAATTTTGGGAAAGGGCAAGAGTGTTAGGGGAAAGTGAAAGAATGGGGGAGTGCTGGAAAGGGAGTGATCAACAGTATCACAAGCTGCAAAGTCAAGGGAAAAGGTTCTGAAAAGAGGATATTGTGTTTGGCAATAAATAAGACAAGGTAAACTTGTCTTTCTGAATAAGTTTACTGAATAGGAGGTTATTTTCAGTAAAGTGACAGCATCAAAAGTCAAATTTCAAAAGGTTAAGAAAGGAGGGGATATTAGGGAAATGGAAATGGAGGGAAAGAAAGTTCATTTGTCTGGTGATAAATGCAAAGGGAGAATAGCAAAGCTAAGAATTTTTTAAATAATAGAAATATTCCATACATTTTGAGGGATACATCTGTCTATATCCTCTACATATTTGATGTCTGGTAAAAAATGGTAGCTGAGAAAAGCTATAGTGGCAGCAGTCTCTGATGGAGGTAGAAACGTTATTGACATTACATCTAAAAGACGTTTTAGACAAGATATGGAAATAGAGCTCTGCTTTTAAATATGTCTACTTTCTAAAAATGAAACCTGTATCTGTTTCTTTGTTAAACAATAAGAATTTACTCTTTGTGGAATAATGAATTAAATTACATCTTTTTGACTAGTGATAAAGTTACTATTTAGCTAAGTATGACTTAAATGAAATATGTTTCTTGCTCTATTAAATATTTGTTGTGTTATTGGTTTCTGAATTAGCACATAATTACAAATACATATTTAATACTAGAGTGTCAATTTCTCAAACAGCACATGAAAGTTACCATAGAAATTCATGTAGAGGAGTATCCATCTTGTTATTAAGTTTGGCTGTACTCCTGTGTCTATGTATAGATTTAAAGGGAATGTTATTATGAGAATGTTATGTTCTTGTTACATGTTGTACTGACACCTGGAGAAGTAATGAAGGGTTTTTTAATGAAGTTGAGATCTTTTTACAACTACTAATTAATTTTCTCAACTATTGTAAAATATCGTTGTTTTTTTAAAATACATTTTAAACGGACAAGGTATAGAATATTTATGCACAGATATGATGTACCTTGCTACCAGCTGCTAAGTATAGAGAGTCTTTGTGTTTAAGACTGACTTGTGTCCTTGAAAAAGAGCTGCTAGTATAAAGGATACAAGGACAATATAATATTCACGCATAGTTTGGTAGAACATAGGATTCTTAACATGTCTTTAAACTGACCCAAAGCCAAAGTGCTATAAATCAGTTGAATCAAACGGTACAGTAGCTTATTATTCAACAAACTTTTATTAAACACCTACTAGCAAAATAAATAAGCCATAGGTTCTGTTCTCAGGGAGCTTAATGTAGGACAGACAGAACTTAAGGATCAGCATTTGAGTTTTGGTTTACTCCCCTTACTAGATATATGACTTTGACCAAGTTATTTAATTAATTACTTTTGGAAAAAAAAATTTTTCTAAATGTCAGCTTCCTTGTCTGTAAAATGGAGATAAAGATACCTCTCTTGCAGGGTCGTACAGTTTAGAAGTAATGTATTTATATAGCACAGTGTCTTGCCCATGGTAAGTAGTTACTGGTAACTGTTACTTTTATTGCCTACCTCACAGGGAATTCTCAATAAACGTTAATGTCCTTTCCTTTTTTGCTTACAACCCTTCATCCGCTAACATAAAATCGTAGTCACCATGATATCATCTAACATGCAGGAAGTGACCTTTGTTATCCCTACTGAAATCAACAAGTAGGTGAAGGAAGGCTTATAAAATTCACTTGGACTACTTAGTACAGATGTTAGTGGGCATACTTGAAGAGAGTCAGAGCTTTCAAGGCTGAGATCTATTTTCTCAGAATTGGTTGAGCATGTACATAAAAGCCATTCATAAGGATCAACCTTTGGGTATCTGAATGGTAACTGATCATAAGTTGTCAAACTGTGTAGTTCCAAAGGTTATATTAGTTTTTATTAGAAAAATTTTCATATATACACAAAAGTATAAAGTATAATCCACTCCCGCGTACTACCCCTCAGCCAGTTCCAACAGTTATCAGCTCAAATGGGTTTTAACAGAAACATTTCGGTCAAAAGTTATTTTATTTCCAGCTCTATATCAGTGTTTCTCTAATTTATTATTTTTCAACCCCATATCGTGGATCTAGTTAGAATCCTCCTTTAACATTTGCTCCTTAAGTTTCTTTTACTAACTATTAATTTGGATTAATAGTGAAAGATTTATTTTCTATAAATATCATAAAATTATTTTAGGACCCATTTTTAAATCACAACATCAAAAGAAAAATGCATGGTTTTGTAACCTTTTTGGAAGAAAGGGAAAGAGTTAAATATGCTGGGTAGAATATATTTTGTTCTGTCTTTGTTTTTAAGGTTTGGCTTGAGCAACAAGTTTGATACTGAATTTCCCTCAGTTCTAACAGGGAAGGTAAGTGAGAGTTTGCTTTGAACTTTTCAATTCTAAAAGCATTGTTTTATGGCTTATTCAGTGTTATGATGAATGCTTTGACTCACTGGTAATGAAGTCTAATAACAAGAGGCCAGGGTACTTGGAGACTGTGTTGTTAGTGACTGAAAGCTGTCTCCATGACTACTAGCCTGTGACCAGTTATCTTGTTCGCGGTCCATTAATGCCTGCCATTATTTACTCATCTGTTCACTTTTTCCAGTTTTGCCTTTTTTCTCAGCACTGGTAGCTATAATTGTGTGTAGGTCAGTACTTTCCAGTATTGTTAGAGTTAACAAAGTTATCATTGTTTAACTTTGTATCACTCTGTTATTTTTAAAGTGTCTTGTGGTATGATTTGTTATACATCAAAAGAATCAAATTTTTGGTTAGACATTTTTCTGCCTTTTAGTTTGAGTTTCTAAAATTAGAGTCACTACAATAAATTGCTATTGCCTTTCTGCTCCCTGGTTCCTCTACATTCAGTAATATCTTCTAGCATTGGGGCTCAATATTCAGAGTTCCTAGGATTCAAAACTTTGTTTGAAAAATCCTCTTTACAACAGAAATGCTAACTTCTAGGCCCAAAGGAAAAGGCTCTAAGGCAGAAAGTTATTTACACATTTGTTACTTGAGGAAATGTAGAAGAAGAAAGAGAAAAGCTGTTACATTACAAAATACTCAGTAATTTCCAAATGGTTAATAGCTGAATGCTTGGTAGCTGAAATGATGATTTGGGGTTAAAAGAAGTTAATTTTTTGTGTTTTGAAGCCTGTAATTTGATACCATTCTCTTTAATTTTAGTACTAGAATAATGCTATTTGTCAGTATAGATTTTGGTCATATTTTAAAATCATTCCTTTCTCTAAAGGGCTTTTATGCTATTTTAGTGTTAATTTTTCTCATATTGTTAATGAGAAAACAAGGTGCAAATCAGTGTATATAGTATGTGTAATAACAGGAAGAAATAATCACATTAATAATTGTGTAAAGAAATTCTAGAAGGATACAAATGAAACTAATAAAAGTGGTTACCTTGATGGGAGAAGGGGAATGAGATGGATGGAGGCAAGGGTAAGGATGAGACCATTTCCTGAATATCTTTTAGTGTTGTTTTGATTTTTGAACCATGTGACCTATTCAAACCTTAATGTATTTTTAATTTTTCCTCTCATTCTAAATTCTTTGAGAATGGGATAAAATACTTCTAGTAATATTGCCTCCTTTTTGTCATGATACATTTTCCAGCTGCTTGTTCTCTTCACTTTTGGCCTAATTCCAACCTTCTCCCCAGTCTCATTAGGGGGGACAAAAGAGAAAAAGACAGGAGACCTATTTCTTTTTTCAAGGGTTATCGCTGAGATCATAAGAAATTCTATTTAATTAAACCCTGAAAGGTATTTTGTACTTTATTTGCTTCATTTTCTCCCTGAAAAATGGGAGCTAGCTGGAGATGATATAGAGTAGTTAAACAAGTTGTGAAGTCAGATCTGAGTTGGAATGCAAGGTCTGTCACTTCCCAGCTTTCTAGCCTGGGGAAGTCCACTTCTCTGAGCCTCATTTCTTATGTGTAAAAATAGAGATGACGATGATAGTACCTCACTTCTTGTTATAAGGATTAAATGAGAGAGCATATATAAAACTCATATTGTCAGGTGCTTGTTAGCTTCCCAACGTAAGTTTGTGGTTGCTGTTAACCATTCTTCATCAGTGTATCCCAGTTTCACCCTGATTGTTTTTCCAGTTTTCTCTACTCACCAGCTTTCAATGTTTAATTGCTTTTGCTACTTTTACATTCTTCATCTGAGTAATGGTTTATTCTCTGGTCCTACCAATAGTTTGTCCTCTTGACTGTTGACCTTTTCTCTCTCTCCTGAGGTATAAAGTCAAATCAATCATTCCATATAATAATAAGCAAGTGGAGATAGTCCCTGGATAAGTTAACATTAGAAAATATGTGGCCATTTAACTTTTTGGGATACACAGAACCCTTTGGTGTGAGATTTTGGCTTCACTCTCTAATATGTTCTACCTTCCTATCCTGATCATTTTAATTTACCAATTGAAGCAGCAGTTCAGGCTTAGATTTGTTTTATATGAATTAATCATAAATGTTTTCTCCAAATAAAAAAAATAGCTATGGAAAAATCTCTTGAATAATAATATGTTTGTGGAAAGATCACAAATTCAAATTAGAATTAAAGAGAATGTGAATTAAAACATCTCCAATGGAAAACTTGTTCTTTATGTTTCCTTTGATGCTGCTGCCTGTGTTGTCTGGGCAGTTATATCCAGCTTTATTATTGGTTTAGTTTTAAAAAGTTTCAGTTGCAAGTCCAAGAAATTCCAGAAAATGAATAATCAAAAAAATATGTCAGAAATAGAGTTCTCAGGCATAAGAATTATCCATCTTTGAAACTGGCCAGTTTTACATGCTCAAGGAATCTTCAGAATATTTCTTCACATCTCTTCATTTCTTTCCAATTCTTCTAAAACTAAAAACTCCACCAACCCAAAAGAAAGAAGTACAGTTTTTTAACCTAGAGTAGGAAGACTGTTAAGCTGCTTTTGGTATGCATTCACACAGCCCAAATGATCTGGACATGAGATGTTCTATACATTCTTTTCAGGTGACTGTTTTTGTAGCACATATTATAATGATTGGATATTTATTCTACTGTGCATTATTTAAAGTGCACACAATTTCTCATCTGTCAGATAAGGCATAAATGATACTGTGATGTTTTTCTTAGTTTAGTGTTTGGTGGTGGAAAAAACACTAAAAGGAATTCTGAAAGTCTGATTTTTAAAAGTCACATGGTGGTAACATTAAGTTTATTCATTTTCTCTTTAATGAGATAGTTCTCCAGTATGCACTGTTTCATTTGTATAGATTACTTTGGATTATCAAAATGCTTCTCTGATAACTGGGAGGAAGAGGCAAGAAGAATTTACATGAACTGGAAAAAAATCTAAAAGAAAAAAAGATCTGAATTCCAGACTTAGCAGCCTTTGTATAAAAATATTTTAAAATGAACAAATGCAATAGCTAAAATAGAAAAATAAATCTACCTTTTACAAAATCGGTCAGCATGAATGGGATTCTAAATAGCTTTTATGCCTACACTAACCAAAATTACACAGAATGAATTCTGAAAACCTAGAAAGCCATTTTGACAAGCTCTGTGGCTCAATATTAATTTTGTGCTTCTTATATGCTAATGCTTTTAATACAAATAAAAAGTTAATCTTTTATATTAAATGCAGAAAAGATTGTTTCCCTCGTTTCACTAAAGATAAGTCCTCCTGTCATGCTAAGACATATCAAGCAGGTGTATACACACAGATTCACATGACCAGAAAAGGAAAGAACCAAAGAACTTAGGGAAGAAATAAAAGCTTCCGGCCTTCAGCTTGAAACAATTAAACGATATTATGGGGAGATTAGTGTGTGGTGTTGGGAACCGTAAGCCATAAAATCAACCTTTACTATTGTGAACTCAATATGACAAGTGATTGATAGGGTTGTGTTTCCCATGATTGAAGGAGGCAAATCAGTCCTGCTGGGTTTTGCTTAGATTTTCTTCTGTTTGCAGTCTCTTGCATCCTGTTATAAAATATTATGACCCTCTCCCCCACCTTTATGATGTGGTTTTCTTTTTTCTTTCTAAGAAAGTCAAAAGGAATTAAATGTTTCTTTACAACCTACCGTTCAGCTAGAAAGGAAAGAGCTTCCATCTAACCTTCATTACTAGAGATACTCAATTATATGGAAGTAAATGAGTAAAATGTTATTAACTCTGATTCCACACAGTTAACTAAACATTTCTTTCACATTGTTTAAAATCAGGAGTTAACCAATTCTCATTTCCTATGCCTTTATCTCTGTTTTATGACTTTTACTGTTATTCAAACACAGATTTTTTTTTCAAAGACAAGCCTGGCCTCCTTTTAAAGGCAAAATGTAGATTTCAGTTTATTGTTTTGAAATTCTAGTCAGAGTTTTCTTTTCAATATATTTATCTTATGACTTCAAAAATTTGAATTCTCATTTTTTAGTAACTTGATAGCTTTTAATTTGCCCATGGTAAGGAGAGTACAATTGGAACTATTACATGTTAAAAGTGGAAAATTTTGGCAGGGAAGAAGGAAAATTGTCACATTTTAGAAACATTTTTGTTAATTCATTTTCAGAAGCATGTAGTGAAAGACAAATTTTAGATACCTTGACATATAATTTATTTTATTCACAATGTTTTAAACAAAAGGCAAGTTTTACTTTTTGGACTGATTCATTTCTGGTTTTAGCTTCACTCTTTTATTTTTTTCATCTGTGCATTTGCACTTTTAAATAAAAATTTTACATTTTAAATAAAAATTTAAATTCTAGTTACAAGCACTTAAATTTGTAAATGGACATATTTAATAATTTTATGATTTATATCAGTTTTTATCAAAATTTACCATATTTTTAAAATTTGTTAGTGTTTCTGGATACGTAATTTAGAGAGAATTGATAGTAATGTTACATTACAAATTAGAGCTAAATATATTTTCACTATGTTAACTTCTATTTGGTTGCTCAGTGATTCACTAGGAAAAAACTAGTTGAATATCACTGTTTGAGAGTGAAATCTTAATATTGCAACTTGGTACCTTATTTTTAAAAAGAACATTTTTTTTTCTCTAAAGAATTGAAGAACTGAAGAGCATTGAATTTGCATTCAAAATGTAGCAGATTATCCTTTTGTTTATAATACAATGTGTAGCAAAGCTTTGCAGTACTAATAGCTTGATCAGACCCCTTGTCTTCAGGTGAGACTACATGCAAAAGAGAGCTTTGCTTTTCTTCAAATCTTGTCAGAGATATGATTCACTGACATCCTTTTTTAAAGCATTCCACTCAGGAGGTTCTTTCTAAGGTATAATTCACATTCTCTGTGAGGTTTATAAAACAAAGATGATTTTTCTCATTTTATAGATAGGAAACTATTCTTTCTAAGGTATAATTCACATTCCCTGTGAGGTTTATAAAACAAAGATGATTTTTCTCATTTTATAGATGGGAAACTACAACTCAGAAAAATTAAATGAATTTGTCTAGGATTTTTCATAGCTAATAAGTAACTAGAATCCAGATCTTGATTTATTGTCTAATGTGCTTAACCTGTTAGTGTTTTCTATTTTCGGTTATAAAGCATGGTTCTCTGGATTTGTTTTCATATTTACCCCAGAAATTTAGTCACTTAATTAGAATTCTTTTTACTTAGTGATTGTCTTTAGGTCCTATTGCTGACAATCTAGATGGAGAATGAAATTAGTTTACTTTCCTCATGTAATTACAGTTTTGAGCCTTACAATTTCACAACCATTGTTGGTTAACATATTATGAGTAAAATCAAGCTTATGGGTTAAGCAGTTAACCTTACTGAGTGGCATGAACAATTCTAATAAAGCTAATATAATTACTTAATGTTTTTAATCATGATGGTGCTGAATTCTGTGGTCATTTATGTTTTTAACATCTGCTAATAGGTATATATTTCGTAGTGTTGATTCTAATACATGTCTATCAAAAGACACAAAAATGTAGTAAATTGATTCCTCTAGTACAATATTTACTTGGAAGAATTGTAAAGCTCTGTATTTTTGATACCAAAATTGCTAATGGGGTTTTTTATTTTACAGCAGCTTATCTTTTCTAACAGTTTCATAATTTTTGCTTACACAGCCAGATGCTGAATTTTTTTCCAGTAAATTTTACAGTCTGATAGCTTTCTAAATGAAAGGGAATCATTTTTGTGATCCAGAAATGTGATTTCACTGAAAGCAAACTATTTTTAGTATACCTTTGAATTGTATAACCTTGAAGCAGAATTTTCTGTATAAATCTAATTATGCCTGTCATGCTCTTGCCTTTGAACTGACTTTGTCATTGTTTACAGCAAGGCACAAGCAGCCACTTCCAGGAATGGAGGTAGTAATTAAAATATTAAATTTACATATTTAAGAGCCTTTCAACTTTCAGACTTTACAGCAGTTATGAGTCCATTTTATGCTGAGTATTAAGATGGTTTTTTGAATGTAGTCACTCCTCACTACCTTTTGTTAGTGTAGCTTTTCCCTACAAACAATGGCAAGTGTTAAAATTACGTTGCACATTTGCCAGAGAGAAAAGGTTTGAGAGTTGCCTTTCTAAAAGTAATCCAGGAATATTGCCAAGGTCTAATTTTAATTCCATTTCCTCTGGTAGTATTTAGGTTTTTATTGTTATATTATGCTTCTAGTCTTAACTTTTAGTCAGTGACTGGAGACTATAAATAATGTTGCCTTAATAATGAGAATATTTGGTAAGAAAACTGCTTACAGGTATTCTTTACCCCAATTTTATTGTTGTCATTTTATTGTTGGTAATTTCAGAAGATTGTTTCAAACGTCAGAATAAGTTCTATAAACATGAAATTATATTGTTTTGCTTTCTAATGTCATCCAAGAGTATGTAATAGGGGAAGATAGGGAGAAAATATATTTAGATGTGTGTAGTTCCTTAAAATATTAGTAATAAGAAACATTTTCTTTAGGTATAGAGATAAATAGAGGAAAGCTGCCCACAGACTATTAAAGATTGTCCCCTTGTTGTAGGTGGCCCCAGAAGAATTTAAGACCAGCATTGGCCGTGTGAATGCATGTTTGAAAAAGGCTCTCCCAGTCAATGTGAAATGGTTGCTGTGTGGTTGTCTCTGCTGCTGTTGCACACTGGGTTGCAGCCTGTGGCCTGTTGTTTGTCTCAACAAAAGAGTAAGTAACCATTTTATTGTATAACAATAATGAGCTGACTTTTATTGAATACTTGCTTTGTGCCAAGTATTTTGCATGATTTATTTCATTTTCATAACAATGCTGTCCTCAGTCTAGAGATAAAGAAACTCAGGGACAGAGAGATTAAGTCATTTGTCCAATCTTTATCAACACTTAATCACTTAATATGGGTTCTCATCATTCTAAATGAGTGCAATGTAAGTGGAGTACTTAGAATAAATATAAATGTGACTGGACTACTTATTCTTTTTACAAAACCCAAAGCTGTGATTTAAAGTATTTCTAAGCTACAGATATATGTATGGCAGAGCTTCTTCTGATCTGAAGAAAGGCAGGAGTGAGAGTAACTTACAAAGTTTGGGGGAACGTGAATCCTGCTTACTTTTGAACATGTTGAAACAACATTCTAACATGACATTACTAGCTATGTCATGGATTTAAGACTGCTATCTTAATCTCATCTTCTTTAAAATTTTATTTCAGTCTTTGGAATGTTTTTTTTCCGAGCAGGAAGATATCTTTAAACTTTTTCATTGAAGCCAGTGAAGAAAATTAACTCGTTTTACCTAAAGTTCTTTTCCCTTTACCACATTGATGACTTCATTTAAACTTTTAAATAATAATTAGCCAACTGAACCAGATTCAAAATCACAGTACCTTGTGGAGGTAGAATTAGTGATGCAGTTGTTTCATAAAGGCCAAAAATATTCCCAAGAAGTACTCATTATTTTTTCTTCTCCGTCTTTCTCCTGCACTCCTTAACGTCTACTTCAAAGAGACAAATAAGGGGCCAGCCTGGTGGCATAGTGGTTGAATTCACGCCCTCCACTTTGGCAGCCTGGGGTTCACGGGTTCGGATCCCAGCTGCAGACCTACACACTACTTATCAAGCCATGATGTGGCAGCATCCCACATACACAATAGAGGAAGATTGGCACAGATATTAGCTCAGGGACAGTCTTCCTCAAGGAAAAAGAAGATGATTGGCAACAGATGTTAGGTCAAGGCCAATCTTCCTCATCAAAAAAAAAACAAAAACAAATAATGAGATACTGCCACCTCTATGACTTTTTGAATGGAAAAATTAAACATTTTATTGATTCCCTTGGCGTAACTACCAGTAGTTCAGAACTTTTCTTAAAATAGAACTTAGTTTATTGTTTGTCAAAGCATTTACAATATTTTCACATGGCTTTATGTAAGTTAAAAAAATTGACAGCATAAATTTCTTTCCCTAATTGTTATATCTTACTTTTAAAAGTTACAAATCAATAGCTCCTATCCATCTCCATTATTTTTAAAGTCTCAATGTGAATTAATTATGATTTGGATTTTTCATCATACAAATACAGCCAATTTCAATTACTTAAGAACAGATTTTTTAGTTTTAATATTATCCAGGATGTATCTTTTTTTCTGATCACCTATTTACTCTTTGCCTATTTATTACGACCTTCACCACAGGGTTTGAAATAGAGAGAAGCAATTTTTTCAATCATGTGATTTTACTGTGAGCACTTAGGATAGAATGTTCAATAGAAAATGAGATTAATACTAATGCTCTGATTTCTCCCTGTCCCCCATTACTTTGGTTAATTAAGACTTCATATTTAAGTTGAGGAATCAGTGTATTCTTAGATCACTAATCTGTCAATTAAAAGAAGTTTATTTAGTACAGATTTGCAAGCTGTTGTCCTGTGGGCTAAATGTAGCCTACTTTGTTTTTTAAACAATTGAATCCAATTGCCAGGATTTAAAACTTAGAATATTTAAAATAAAATTTGAGATATACAGCCTCTCTTGTAAAATCTGAATATCTGTCAGTATTGATCCACATGCCTATATTTCAGCAATTGACCCTAGCTCAGTGATGACTGCTCCCTTCAAATAGGACATGCAGTCTCTGGTTCACCACAGAACCACCAGCATTTACATTATCTGCTTTTCTCTGTACACTTTATAGTTATGGCCCTCCATTTTGTACATGCTATGTTGTTAACACACTAGACAATAAAACACTAAGCACGTGCTGGTAACCTTGTGCAAGACACTGTCCTTTCTGGAACCTCAGTTTCCTCACCTATAAAATCGGGATAGTATTACTTTTAAGGTGGTTGTAATGATGAAGACATTTAAAGCACCTCACTGCTTTTTTGTCCACATGGAGAAATAAAACATAAAATACAACAATTTAAGAATTTTTAGAGTGCAAACTGGTGCAACCACTATGGAAAGCAGTATGGAGTATCCTCAGAAAATTAAGGATAGATCTACCATATGATCCAGCTATCCCACTGCTGGCTATTTATCCAAAGAACTTGAAAACACAAAGGCAAAAAGATACTTGCACCCCTATGTTCATTGCAGCATTATACACAATAGCCAAGACGTGGAAGCAACCTAGGTGCCCATCAAGGGACAAATGGATAAAGAAGATGTGGTATTTATACACGATGGACTACTACTCAGCCATAAGAAATGATAAAATACGGCCATTTGTGACAACACGGATGGACCTTGAGGGTATTATGCTGAGTGAAATAAGTCAGAGGGAGAAAGTCAAATACCATCTGATCTCACTCATAAGTAGAAGATAAAAACAACGACCAAAAACACATAGCATTGGAGATTGGATTGGTGGTTACCATAGGTGAAGTGGGGAGGAGGGAGGGCAAAAGGGGTGATTAGGGTCACATGTGAGGGGATGCACTATAATTAGTTTTTGGGTGGCGAGCATGATGTAATCTACACAGAATTTGAAATATGATGTACATCGGAAATTAATTTTTTAAAAGAGAATTTTTATGCCTTAACTATTGCTTCTTAATCTGTGAGCTAGGTTGTATAGATTATAATAGCTTAATTGGAAAGATGATTAGCATTCATACAGCCCAAATCCCTTATTTTACGGATGTGGAAACTGAGATCCGGAGAGTTGAAGTGCCTTTCCCAGTGTTACACAGTAAATGGCACAACCAGAAAAATAATCCTGTTCTTTTTTGTTTTGTTTTGTTTTGCCTTTGTCCCTTGTAACACTGTGTTCTCTTGACTACAGCATATTTTTTGAGTCAAATTTCCTATTCCTGAGACAAGAAACCTTAGGATAAGTGGTATGATAAACAGCCCCCTGAATTTTGATTCTTTAGCAGGGGTTGGCAAGCTTTTTCTTTTTTTTTTTTTAAAAAGATTGGCATCTATTGCCAATCTTCTTTTTGTTTTTCTTTCTCCCCAAAGCCCCCCCAGTACATAGTTGCATATTTTAGTTGTGGGTCCTTCTAGTTGTGGCGTGTGGGACGCCGCCTCAGCATGGACTGATGAGCAGTGCCATATCCGCACCCAGGATCCCAACCAGCGAAATCCTGGGCCGCCAAAGCAGAGCACACGAAATTAACCACTCAGCCGTGAAGCCGGCCCAGCAAACTTTTTCTTAAAAAAGCAAATAGTAAATACTTTAAGTTTTGTGGCTCAGAGCTCTCTGTTGCAACTATTCAATTCTGCTATTTTAGTGTAAAAGCAGCCATAAACAATATGTAAATGAGTAAATGTTGCTGTATTCCAATAAAACTTTATTTACAAAAACAGGCAGCCAGCCAGATTTGGCCCATGGGCTATAGTTTGCCATCCTGCTCTAGCCGTCTCTAATGGGGTATCTAGCTTTATGGAAGTCATGTCTTTGTTTATCCACAAAATAAAATGGAAATAATATAATTACTCTGCCCTATGTCACAAGGTTGCTATGTAAACTAATGATTATAAAATGTTTCCAAGAAAAGAACTTCAATGTAAACAGTCTGCCTTATGAACTATTTCTTTTTTAGCCATTTTCCTTTATGGAAGTTTTTTTCTAGCAAGTTAGGTGAAAGAAAAGAAATACAGATCAGGGTGCCCTGAGCTCCTCCTAGTCTCTCTTGACTCTGGTAGGACTCCATGGCTACATGATATATGAAATGAAGGTTTTCCTTTACCTGTTTTTGCATTTACCACTGAAACAACTGTGATATATCATAGTCAATTTTCAGGCCTAGTCATACCACTGTCAATGCAGATAAGCAATATCATTCTGTAGTAAAGAAAAGAAGAGAGTTTTATTCAAGCCAAACTGAGAGCTATAGCCCAGGAGTCACAGCCTTCACAAGGGAAGAAAATGCTCCAGAAAAGAGCAGTTTTCAGCACAGTTATATACCATTTCAAAACAATTTTATATATATATATATATATATCAAGCACAACAGGGGTACATTCCTTCCAAGGGTTCAAGGAGATGTTCATACAGATTAGCACATACACAGCAGGTCACCGTGACCCCTGGTTTAATGGGAAGGGAGACTTATCTTCAAAGAGTACTGGCATCATAAGAAGGGAGACATTAATCCTTATCTTCAAAGAGTACATTCTCTACTTTAGGGTAATGATTAAAGCAGATGTACAATGTATATTTGACAAGCTTTAAGTCAGGCTTCTTTGGTTCAAATAAACTCAGGCCAAATCAAATTCAAACCAGAATAAGTTCATCATACTTCAATATATAAAAATGTCTTATATCATTTATCCCCTTTGATCAATAATCTTTCAATAGAAGCATTGATGATCAAAGTATTGTCCCTCAATGCCAGGGTGGTTGCTTCCTGCCCTGGGTCCCTTGGAGCTGAGCTTTATTTTGATTGACCTACCCAGTTATCCACATTGGGGGGGAATAACCAAATGTAATTGATAGTCGTAGAGGTACACACTGACAGAGAAAGTATTTTTATAGGTTATGTGTATTTTCAGTTAAGTCGAATTGTCATGCAAACATCATCCAGGTGCTTTTACGTGACCTTTTGTGATCACATTGTTTATGACATTTATAGAACTTATATAGTAACAATAAGAAACCAATAAATAATATTTGAAGTAGTCAATGAGAACTAGGCATGGATTTAAAGAGACAAGAGAAGTACAGGTTAAAATACCATTACAGCTCAACAACAAAAAATCAA